CAGAAATTTACGTGTATTTCTGCATTCATCAATATGTTAGTAGCTCCAATCTTGAACAAAATTCTCACCTGCTTCAGACTGCTCGTAGTGCTTGTGTAAATAAGGAATGCACATAAAAATTGCTTGTCATTATTAGAAATTACAATTGTAATTCGTGTTGTGCTCTGTTATGTTCACAATACGCAGATGACTTTGAAGTTAAACATGACAAAAGATCAGAAACATAACACTTTAAGATGAGTTATTTGGACATTAGCAGATTTAAGCTTCAGATTAGGATTCTTAAAACTGTGAATAGGTTATTTAAATCGACTTAATATATGTGTTTTCTACATTTTGGGCATCCCATCCCCACTTGACTGAGACTGTGAGACCAACGTTACTGACCAAACACTACGCTAGCAGTGATGGCTGTCAGAATATACAGTGATTTAACACTATTTAACATGTACATCACCTCACCTTCTAAGTTTGATGTTAAATGCTCCAGTAGAGGCATGTTGCTGTCTCACCTGAGACAGGAGAGAGGTTGATGCAAGTAATGTGCTGGTCTGCAGCAGAGACATGTAACTGAGAACAGCTTCCTGTAGCTGTTGTGGGTTATTTTATGCATTTTTTTGCATCATGTTTCAAATCAAACCATTTTCATTTAACTTCTTGGGAGGGGTTCTTTCAACAAAGGACAGAGTTTACAGCATCCGTTACTGCCTTTCAGGCCTTTGATTTGATTGTCCCTGTCACACAACTAAAATATTATTCTTTCTCTCGCTCTGTTTGTTTGTTTACTCTTTGTTCATTATTCAGGGGCTGGGATGTATGATAATTGCTGACTAGCAGGAGTGTGCTATTAATTTACGATTGATTGTCATTCATGTGCCTACGATCAGATCCGAGGTGCCCGTGGGGTTAATGAATACGGTGTAGGTTTTCAGTACCAAGATTTTTTATGTGCAAAGCTACTCACTGACATTTTGTGAATGAGGCCCAATATGTGTATTGCTGGAGAATATTTGTTTTTACATTCCTACAAGAATATATGTCATTATGTGTACAGTCAAAAAACAAATTAGTTGAGAGTAGGGCTGGGCGTTATGGACAAAAAATTATATCTCGGTATTTACAGGCTGACTAGTGATACGCAATGTATTTCACGACATTTTCTACAAAATGGGCTACATGTTTTCAGTTGCAAGTCAAAGCCACATTTGAGATGTCACAAGCACTTTTATAAAACCAGACTGTGATCAAAATAAAATGCAAAGACAGGGATTTTATCCCCGTTTGAAAATAGACAGCTGCACAACATGCACATGAAAAATGATATAAATTAAATAGCAGGGCTGTACGTTAACGTTTTGCACAGAGCAGTGGTGCTACAGAGGTTTAATGGTTTGCAGCACAGAACACAAAAGTATAACATGAGTATTAAAGTAGTAGTAGTAGTTTTCCATGGCCTTTAAAATGACTGGAAAATGATTAAAACTTTTTTTTATTTATTTGTTCTATTGATCTTATTTATGCTCAGAGCATCAACAGAGAGGCCAAGGGAGGGAAGGAACGAGAGACACTTTGTCTGCATTATATACGTCTTGTCACACAACAGACTACAACTACCAAGAAGAATGGTGACGCATTATGATCCACTTCACACAAGAACTACCAGCAAAGTGCTGGACTGCACATGTCGCTGGATTGCACGTGCTACTGCGGTCATTTCATTCATCGCACAGACTGATTTAGCATAGCACGTGCAACATATAGACCAATGTCACACTGTAGACTAATTAAACAGATTAAACAGAGTAGCAATTATATGTCTCAATTAGTGTTGTTGGAGAACTAGTGAGTGAGTGAGTGAGTGAGTAAGTGAGTGAGTGGGGCTGGTGTCACTGGTATGCGTTATCGATATAAACTGTGTTGTCTAAATTTATATCTCGCTTGAAAATATATTGATATATCATACATTGTCGTTATATCACCCAGCTCTAGTTGAGAGTTCCTCTTTAAGGTGAGCAATTCATGTATTTACATATTGTGTATTCTCATATGGATTCACATTCACACTGTGTAATAAAATATTACATGACTGATGTGTACAAAGATCAAAATCATGTTTAAACATGAGTTTAATGCTCTTCTTCCATACTAGCTATCTGTGATATGCACACTTCATCTACAGCTTCTTTTTCCCCTAATAAGAGTCCACCTTCTTCCTGTCAAATGATCCATACCTGCAGTCTCCTGGCCTCTAAATCCCATTCATCAAAGAGGGGTTTATACTGGTCTGCCTGCTTGCTCTGTTTGGAGCAGCAGATGGGGATGTGTGTGGGCGAAACAAGCACCGGGCCATAGGCCACATCTTCTTCCATGCAGAAAGACAAAGACACCAGAAGCAGCAGTTTCCACATGAGGAAAAATGGGGGTTCTGTCTTTATTTAGCCCATTTGTTCAACTGCTCTCCTCATTAATGTCACTCAATGAGAGGGTACTGGTTGGCTGACTGTAGCACCCACTCCTCCACTGGCTCTTGGGCTATGCTGCTGGCTGCTGCTCCAACACTGGAAACCAGTGTTACCCTGCAGCAGTGCTGGGATCAGTAAAACAATGAAGCAGGACATGTCTGTGGAAGGCTTTACAGGACTGAGGATGACTACTTGCACCAGGCCTCTTTGAAAACTTTCTCAACATGGTGCAAGGAAAAAACAGGAACCAGTCCTCCAGTCAGTAGTAAAGTAGCAGTACCTAATCAAGTTGGAGCGTGCAAATATGTTACTGTATTAGTGGGTTTATTACTCTAAAGTTAAGTTACAGACAGATGTGAAGCCAAGGGCACATTCCTATTGCTTCAATCAAAATCCCTTCATTACCTGCAAACATGATTGGGGAAAACAAGGCAGTGACCAGAGTTGAGTAACCAAAAGCACAACTTAAATCTTCACTTACAATCATGATATGCAGTTTAAAGCAAAGCAGCCTCACTGTTTGGTTTGTCACCAAACAGTGAGGCTTCTACCAGCTGGTGAAGGGGAGTGAGGCGTCAGCAGTCAATAAAACAGATTTTTTCAATATTTATGAATTACTGCAACCAGGTCCTTCAGTATACAGTCATACATGTGCACACAAGAATTAGGCTGATCAGTCTAGTAGTGTGTGAGATTAGCTGGAGACAGACAGATATATACACTCACATGCGCCCACGACCAAACACACAATGCCTTCAAGGCTTATACCTGGCGAAGATACACTGAGCATAGCAATAGGACATGCTGTCAAGCTCAGCTCACATCCCAGCTACATCAGCTGATCTCAAGCAGCCCAATCAACTGATGGAGCAGCTGAATGATGGAAGGGAGTCAGCTGATAGATCACATAATTCCTTTCTATGCAACCAATTGGCAAATCTCATTCAGGGCACTTTTACTTCAGGGCTATTTAAACTGCTTTGGCCTGCCTACTGTTGCTGCAAGCTGCTTTGCAACCCACCTCCACCCCAGCTCCTCCTTTTAATGTTGTGTCTGACTTATCAGTGTCATTTCTATTTGCTCCCTCTGCCTCAGGCTTTCCTCATATGCGCATGGAAGGGCAGGGAGGTTTGCTCTCTCTGCCTTAGGGCATTTCACGTAGGCACGTGAAAGCGTGGTGAGGTGTGCTCTCTCCACCTAAGGCTTTCTGTATAGGCTGGAGAAAAGGCAGAGAGGCCCTAGAACAGAGCCATACCACCAAATATAATACCGCAAATGGAATTAAAGTTCCCTTTGACTAAAGTGGTCCTGATTGTACTATCAAGATGGTTAAACACATACAGTAATGTTAGTTTCAAGTGTTGACATGCAATAAAACCATTTGTTTCCCAATAATTAATTTGATATCATGATAAATAATAGTGATATCAAGTTTGATCCAAATAACTGTAAACATTATAGCATGATACTGTAGGCCTGAATGAAAGCTTCTTGCATGTATGTGTGCACAACCAGAAAACTGCATACACACACTCACATAGAGCTCGAAGGTGTGTCTTGACTTGGAAATTCAACATGAGCCATAAAGTGAAGATGCAGCAGAGAGCACAGCAGTCAGAGCCCACCTGAGGGAGTGGAACCATCAGCTCTCATGCAAAGTGATCAGAAATGATACATATCCCCTCACTGTCTTCAGCCCTGCTGCTGCAACAAGACACACACTCTTACTCAAGGCAGGACACAGTCATACTTGTTTTCTGCACTAATGAGAGAGCTCTTAAGCAGCAAGTCCAGGCGACATTTGCAGGTCCCGTTTAACCTTCAGCCACCCTCCACCGTGCATTCTGCAGCTCTCATTTCCTTCACAGTTTTGGGCTACACAAACTGGCTGTCTGCAGCTCTACTCTACTGTTGTGAATATCCTTGAGTCAAATTCATGTTTATTCAAATAATGAATGCAAAGGCTTTCCCTCCCTCACCACCCAAAACAGCTCACACAGGAGAGAAATATGAAAGCTTTGTTGAGATCTGCAAAACAGCCCTGTATATGCACAACATACTGAAAATAAAGCCTTTGGTGTTTCCAGGCTTCCACACTGTCACAAAAGTCACTAACAATGCTGCTCAAACTGCCAGCTCTGACTTAAACATGCGTATTTCAAGCATGTAAAAAACAACAGTGTAGCAAGAAACACGCCCCTCGCCTGTTGTCACTTCTACAATAACATCCCATCTTTAAGAGAGCATGTCTTCTGGCTTTGAGCGCCCTGGCTCCGCCATTTCACTCTAAAACCCCAACTACCAAACAGCTTTCTCTGTGTGATTCAGCAATTCAACAATCAATCACTCAGCATCCTTGGGGGAAAAAACAAAACAAGTAAATTACTGGATGTGATCATGCATTACACACACGTCTCATCAAACTGTGTCACATCTTTATAGTCCCCTGGGTTTCAGCTCCAGGAAATGGGAGAAACTTTTTGTTCAAAGAGGTGAAAATACACCTCTGCATAGCATAAAGGAGAAAAGTCCTCTTACCTTGGGCTGAGCACGTCTAGGAAAGGCAACTTTGGGGTCAATCTGCAAGAGGGAAAGCACATAACAATAAGTCAGTGAACAAAGACACAAAGAGAATGAAAAATACTGACAAATAATTGAAGTGGGGAGGAAAGCCATAGCCATCTTGTATGTACAATATGTAACCCTTAAAGGAATACCTCACACAAAATGACCATTTGTATGTCAATTAGTCATGCCGTGTTACCTTCAATTTGTGAAGAAAACTGTATCTCACATGCCATGGAAAGTGGCATAGATTTACTGATTGATTGGGGACCACCAGGTGCAGGTGCATCTGGCTTTCACAAAGGAATGGGAGATGACACTCTGATTGGTTGGATTCATGTTACACCCAAAACACACCTATAATTGGTATAATTGGTAAAGAGCAACTGCTGTATCCATTTACAGTAATCCCAAACAAACTGTGGGCTGAGAAAATTCATTGCCTTCCATTGGTTCAATAAAGAGGCGAGGCAATAAATGGCCATTTTAGAAGAATACTTCACATCTATTTCAAATCAGGTGGATAGGAGAGGGACAAATAGGACACAATTGGCACACGAACTCCCACACACACTCTTTAACTTGCATCAGGAAATACATTTACTTTAACATGTTGAAGTAGAAACCTTAAGTACTACCTCCTCCTGAACATTAGCAAAACTAAGGAGATGATAGTCGGCTTCTGGAAGAAGCAGCGAAGGAACTACACCCCCATTAATATCAACCGGTCCTCAGTGGAGAGGGTGGCCAAACTTTAAATACCGTGGTGTCCACATCACTGAGGGCCTGACCTGGGCACTAAATCAGTCATACTAAGTCAGTGGTGAGAAAGGCAAGGCAGAGACTGTATCCCCCCAGACATCGGAGGACATTCCAGGTATCCCCTCAAATGGTGAGGAATTTCTACTCTTGCACCATTGGGAGCATCCGGACGGGAAACATCACTGCCTGAAAAGAGAGGTTTGTTCAGCTGATCACACCATAGGTGCTGCTCCGCCCTGCCTAAAGAACCCCAGGCGCTGCAAGAATAAGGCCAGGAGAATCATAAAAGATCCCAACCACCTGAAACCACCCCTGTTGAGGTGGGAATGAGGGTACCGATTACATCAGGTCAGCACTGATACCCCTTTCTTCACCAGATTAGCTCTGGTTCATTAACTGGATTCTTGGAACCTTGGTGCTACCATTGTAATCAAGGATGTGTCATCAATGAAGGACATTCAATGCACAATTGAAGGAAACAGTAGCAAAATCGTGTATTCATCACCTGCAAACTTTTGTTCTCTTATTACAGTTTTTTTTACCCAAAAGCAAGCACAGACCAACTATTAATGAGACAACTGTATGCCCTTTTTTCTGCCAATTTCCCACTTGACTTTTACATTTTTACCTTCTCCTCTTTCCAACCTGTAGAATATAACATGCTCACTGATGTCGTTACAGTTCGCACTTCAGGTTAAGAAAAACATGCTCTTGTTTGGTTCCAGCTAAGATAAACTTTTCTGGCTGTGAACCAGTTTATTTTTGGTTAAAATGCCCTGAACAGTTCAAAATTAGGCGCAGGAACGGGAACAGAACCAGTTCCATGCTGGTGGAAAAGGGGCCTGAGGGTTCTACCCTCAGGCCACTAGGATCACAAAGGAAGACACTGATAAGACACACATCAGCTACAAGAAACCGGTTAGAACCCTGGTTAAACATACATACATGACAAAGAAACTAAGGTTCTCCAAAAGAAATATACCTGGTTGAAACAGGTTTCCCTGATCCCGTACCACTATTACAGATAATTAAGAAATTAGTTTAAGGGAGAAACCCAACTGTAACTTAGTACTTACTTCTAAATCATAGATTTCACCCAGAGACAAGAGGAATCAGAGCCTATCAGTGCATTAAGACACAGTTGTACTTTAAAAAAAAAAAATACTTTATTGGTTCTAAATGTGTCATTATTATTTATGTTCTTTGCTCCAAACAGCGAGACAAAAATGTGATTTTTTACCATCTCTGTGCTGCTGGCAGTGTGTGTGTATGTATGTGTGTGTGTGTGTGTGATTTCCCCACTTCTCTGTTTAGTTAATCACTGTTCCCATTAAAGATGGCTAATAACATTTAGAGCTAGTAGCAATTTAGCTCTGCCCAATCACAGGACCATTCCACATCAAATCTAATCTCCTCTTAAGTGGAGGGGGGGTCAATAAAGCTGCAATGATTTACAAATTACACAGACAAAGGGCTAATTAACGTTGTGTTCAGCCTGCTTGTTGAACTTATGGAAACACAAGTCGTTCACAGCAGGATGAAAAGAAAAACTGATAGCCGAAGAATGAAAGATCCTGCTGCACAATTATGTACAGTCTCCATTTTGAACCTTCCAGTGAAAACTGAATGCATTTGATGTGCCAACTTTAATCACCAGCAAAGGTGTCACAATACATAACAATAATAATAATAATAATGCTGATGATAATAATGTACAAGAGTCAGGGATCACCATGTAAAGAAGAGTGACTGCAAAAGTGTCCAATGGAGCAGTTGCATTTGAACTGAATGTTCATTTCACTACCATAGGCCATCTCCAATGCTGTTTCCATGAATTTGGCAGTACATCCAACCAGCCTCACAACAGCAGACCACATGGAACCAAATCAGCTCCAACCCAGTCTCATTGTGAAGTTATCGAATACCAGCACTTGGGCAGTGACTTCCATGTCAGACACTAACGTAAGAAGCTGTCTCCACATCGGCGCGATACACGGCTGGGCGCCACCCATGTGTAATGATGTGCCCAACGGCATCTCGGAAAAACACATCTGGACAGCAACATAAGTTAAGAGGGTGAAAAGTCTAAGTGGGGGTGGGCGGGAGGAGTGATGGATGGGTCTAACAATCACCAACTTTCCCCCAGGTGGCCGGTGTTCACTTCCCATGTGATTGTAAAGCCAAACCCTTTATTTTTTTAACCTAACTAAGCAGTAACTTTTGTTGCCTAAACCCAATCACGTGCATGTGTTGGCAGAATGTAACCATGTGTGCTTGCTGTTGAAGGGAAAAAACGTCAATTCAGTGTACCAATGCAGTGCGTTTATTTTGAAAGAGACTGTATGCAAAGTGTACATTTCTTTTGAAAACATGTTTTCAAAACACACAATGCATGTAACAGGCTGAAGCTGACACAGCATCCCAGAATGTCAACACCCTGGGTACCTTGCACATCATATGTGGCAGTAGAAAGTCCACGACCAAGCGGCAATATGTGACAAGGTCGGAGTGAGAATGTGTTGCCAGCTCAGGACCTCAACATCCAACTTCTTCATCTGCAAGATCTTCTGAGACCAGCCAACTGAACAGCTGATGCAATAACTGGTTTGCACAACCGAAGAATTTCTGCACAAACTGTCAGAAACTTTTCCAGGGAAACTTATCTGCGTGCTTGTCATCCTCAATTGGGTCCTGACCTGACTGCAGTTCGTCATTAAAACGGACTTGAGTGGGCAATTGCTCACCATCGATGGCGTCTGGCACTTTGGAGAAGTGTTCTCTTCACAGGTGACTTCACTGTACCAGGCAAATGACAGACAGCATGTATGGTATTGTGGCAAGCAATTTGCTTGTGCCAGTGTTATGAACAGAATGCCCCTTGGTGGCAGCGGGGTTATGGTATGGACTAGCATAAGCTACCGACACAGGCACATTTTATTGATGGCGGTTTGAATGCACAGAAATACCACGACGAGTTCCTGACACCCACTGCCATGCCATGCTCCAACACGTACACTGAAGTTTGAAATCTCCTGCCACAGAAATTTATTGAGTCCAGTCAGATGGCTGGGCGGATTCCTGTATGTGTTTGAATGGTTTGTCATGCTATTGTAGAAAGTCCTCTTCACAAGTAGAACAAATGGTATTTGTATGAAGGGTTTGTTTTGTACATGGAAAACAAAACGTTATACAATGGTTCAATCAGACTGGCAACTGAAAGGGCAGAAAGAGACAAAGATCCCTCTGAGCAACAGTTGAATAAAAATAGAAAAAATCAGCAGTCATTGGTAAAAGAAACTGTAAGCTTTGCATCATCATGTGTGCAGATTTAAATAGGAACAGGTTTCTGTTTCAGTATGTTTACATGCACAAAACTTTCCAGGTTTTGCACTTATTCCAAAAGACACTATTCCCACTAAAGTGTTTACATGGCTAATAAAAATTAATATTCTACAAATATTACCATTTAAATGCACCCTTGCATATTCTGATTAACATGCCCTTACACGTCGTTCCTCAAGTAAAAATATAGAAAATTGAAACAGCTGAAGTCACTTATTTTGCCTCTATGCATCAAAATAGGATTTTTTCAGTTTCGTACAGGTGGTGGACCTGATGGACACAGCCTCCCTTTTTGATTCCTTGAACCACCTTCTTGAAAAGGTCACTGTTGCAATAGACAAAATATGTTGCACATATACAAAAACCTCTTGATAACAAAGTATTAAAAGTAGGTGTGTTTCTCCTTCTGACCAGAAATGTGAACTTTTCTTTTGGGCATTGGATCTCGAGCCTCACAAACTGTTGGCTATCATGGGTGTATAAACAGACCTGGATACAGCATTTGCAGCTGTATCCCAATCATTCCTATGAAAGTTGCTCAGTGGTGCATGAGGCCAAAAAAGCTCTACAACCGCAGTATAAATTTACCCAGATGATAAGCGCTTCTTCCGGATCATTGGGGAACCATAGAGCAAGCACACAAGAGACCTCTGCCAGTCAAGCCAGCTACTTCCGGTTTAGCGCTCTTCTAACTTAAATGGGGATAAAATGATTTGACCTTGCGGCTCCTCTAGACTTTTCAAATCATTGTGACAAATGGATTAAATCCTGATAGTCAAACATGTCATTTCGCGAGGGTTGTGATGCTCAGAAGAATTTATCCACTGATTTATAGATGTCTTTTTTCCAATGTGTCAATGAGAAAAAGTCTTTTTAGGCCAAATGGCATTACGTGACGGACCCAGGTGGTG